TGAGAATCTCCCTTACGTCTCGCTTGAGGGACTCTCTTAAGTATCACCAAGAAAGTTTATTCAAGACCTAGGGGCAAGAAACAAAGCCTTGATGAGGTTCTCCATGAAAGTCTGAAAACGAGCAAAGGGTTAAAACACTTCAGCATCTATAAGCCTTCGTGCTTGAGGAACTGTGTAGTGATGTAATTTAAAGAGACCTTGGGGCGAGGCGAATGGCATACTCCTAGACCTCCTTCCTTCCAAGACCACATTGTACTAGTTCAACCCCCCTTTTTGTTCGAGCGTTCTTTTCCAGATATATCGCCTAAGCCTCTAATTTTCCCCATCCATAATGTGCGATTGTGCGTAAAGCGTTTACTGAGTCAACAGACGTTACAAAGAAAGTCATGAGACTTAACTGCACCTCTTAGATTTCTGGGAATCAACCACTCATGCTTAGAGTGGTTGTTAAATTATAGAAGACCCGGTTCAGGACTTTGGACTACAAATACATCGTTAGTACCACTTTGATGGGAGGACCAAGAACGCCAAAAATACACCTATACGATAGCTTTTTACCTTACGTGAGCTATCTCTCAATACCCCAAACAACCTCAAAGCCTCTAATATCCCTTATCCACTAGGAGTTGTCACACATATTGTACTTTGTTGAGAGGCCTTGTGTAAGAAGTTGAAGTAAATTTCAATTGAATTGTGAATTTTCTTAAGAGACCTCATTTAAACGTAACTTAACCTTAAAATATATGTATGGATGCCCTTTTTAACATAGCTTTATCATAAAAAATGTGAGACCCCGTGTTGTAGGTCTCTTTGCACACCCTCAAAGAGAGAGAGAATCAAATTACATTCGTAGAGTTAAACCAAAAGTTACACTCGTTCGATAACTTCGGATCGAATAAATGTTTTTTAAAATAAAAAATTAAACTAAAACATTGTATTATATAAATTATATATATATATATATATATATATATATATATATATATATATATATATATAATTTTAACAGTTGATTATAAAATGCTTTGATAATAATTACGAATTATACTATTTTAAAATGATTAAATATAATAAAGTTAAAAATAATTAGATGATTGGTTGAAAATAAAATACTCAATTATTATAATACGGAAAGAAATCGTCACTTTTTTTTTATCTATATATACATATCTACTTCTAAGTTGTAGTACAATGTATATTGAAAGTAAATTCAATCAACATTTTAACTAATTGATTTAACATTTGATATATTTTTTTTTCATATTTAAAATATGAAGATTTTATCCTATACACCTGCACTTATATCCATACCCCTACAATTTTAAAAAAATACCCATTTTATCCTTATATATTTTTATATTTTATTTTACTTTTTTTTTTTCAGTTTTTAACTTATCAGATTTTTTAGACTTCCGAGAAATTCACCACACGACCTATCAGAACACTATCAAAATGACTTCCGGTAAGCTTTTTTTCTCAAATCGGAAGACTTTGGTAAAGAGTTCCGGTTCACACAAATTATGTACCGGAAGACTTTATGAAAGACTTCCGGTTTGAGAATTTTCGTGGGTGTTCACCGGAAGACTTGTAAAAAGAGTTCTGGTACTTGTAAAAAGTGTACCGGAACACTTTTTACAAGTCTTCCGGTTTGTGTTTTTTGGCTACCGGAACTCTTTCTCTGAGTCTTCCGGATTGCATTGTCCATTTTTTTTTGAATTTTTTTAAATTCTTTTTTTATGCAAGTTCAAAAGTGCCTTTACAAATATGCGATAAAGATCAGATATGCGTAGATACGTCTGATGTTTTTTCAACTACTCAAAGATTTGGTACATGAGAAGAGGTAATGCGATTGATTAAAGATATCGGAATCCAAAATAAAGTAACGGTTATTATCACTCGTTCAGATATTGAAACAGACAAGAGAGGAAGAAGTTACAAATTAGTATTTGGATGTGATAGAGGAGGAAAACACAAAGATATTGATAGTAAAACCCAGAGTGCGACGAAAAAATATGGATGTCCATTTAGAATCAGATTAATTCCAGCGACCGATGGATCTGGATGGAAGATTGATGTAAAATGTGGAGTTCATAACCATGATTTACCTGATAGATTAGAAGGTCACACATTTGTTGGTAGGTTGACAGCAACAACATCTTGGATGATAGGATTTGCAGAAAGTCTACAACATTGGCAACAACATACGCCTATATTACCAACGCATTATGAATTATAAATTATGTTACTCATTTTTAATTTCAAAACAAGAATCGTGAATTATGTTACTCGTTTTTAATTTCAAAACAAGAATCGTGAATTATGTTACTCATTTTTAATTTCAAAACATGAATCGTGAATTATGTTACTCATTGTTAATTTCAAAACATGAATCGTGAATCATGTTACTCATTTTTAATTTTAAAACATGAATCGTGAATTATGTTACTCATTTTTAATTTCAAAGTATGAATCGTGAATTATGTTATTCATTTTTTATTTTAGGCTACAAGTTAACACATAAACATAAACTAAATAGGTCAAATGAGTCTAAAAGTTAACACATGAACATAAACCAATTAGGTCAAATGAGTCTAAAGGTTAACATATAACCATAAATATAAATATAAGTCACTGTGATCGACCAAGATGTAAAGCTTCGAACAAATTAGCAAACTATGGGTCATCCAACAGGCTCGGATGCTAATGCAGATGCATCAAAATGCTCTTCTTCAGCCATTTTCGATGACTCGCCACGTCCTAGTCCACGAGGGATCCTACCATCTCTGCCTCGTGTGCGCACCACTGAAAAAAAAATAAAAAATAAAAATAAAAAAAATAAAAAAAATTTAAAATTTAAAATTAAAAAAAAAATGAACCGAAAGTCTTGAGCAAAGAGTTTCGGAGAAGAAACGGAAAATGTGTGTACCAGAAGACTTAAGTCAAGACATCCGGTTAACAAAATCAAAATTTCATGAACCGGAAGACATGCATTAAGTTTTCCGGTGAAGAAACCAAAACAAAGTACAAACCGGAAAACTTACTCTTGGAATTCCGGTATGTATTGAAAAACAAATGCGTTCTGGAAGACTTGGTGGAAGAGTTCCAGTGTGTAAATGAAAATAGAGACCTCCGAAAGATTTGAAATGGAAATGAAGTGAAAGTGAAAAAATTTACGAAATTATAGATATTTAAACAAGGGTATTTTGGTCCAATATTTTTTAGTATAGAGATGTAAGTATAAGTGTAGGGATATGTGATAAAATTTCCTTAAAATATACTCAAGAATCTATTTTTTCTATAAAAAATACTAAATGAAGAGGAAACATCCATTCTTTCATTAACCTAGTGATTGATGATTGATCTTTAACTTGTAGAGAAATAAATTCGAATTATCCAAATTGAAGTAAGTTTTAAAAAGTGTTTTACCAATCAAAACCATATCTATAAAAAAAGTGATTGATCTTTAATTTATAATTTTTAGCTTTTCAGTATACATTAATAAAAAAGTTTTATTTGATAATTGTTTGTTAACTTTTAAGTTTTAATTTTTTTAGTTGTTTTTAGTTTTTTTTTTTCCCAAAAGTTATTTGAAGTAGATTTGAAGTTTATAGTTTTTACTTTATGATTTTTTCTTCTATTTGTACTCTTATTATTTTATCAAAAATTCATTTTTGCCCTTCATATTATTATAATTTAAATTAAAATAATTGTGGTTTAGTTAAGAGAATAAAAAAAACTTAATCATTATTTTTATCGAACAAATTCACAATGCAATTCATATTTGATTTTATTATTAATGGAATATTTTGATTCATTACATTGAATTATTTTTTATTACTTTTAAATTATTATTTTTATAAATATGATAATGAATGATTGAAATATTTATTTATTAATAGATATATAATAGATTTTGAGAGAAAATAAAAAGAGAAGGAAGTATGCTCTTTATTGAAATATAATTTGAAATTGCAATATTATTATTTTATATATTTAAATTTCATTACAAAATTTATATACAAGTGTTTAATATATTTTTGTGTTATGTTTAATTTTATATTTATATTTAAAATATTTTTTATTTGATTGGTAATACATTTAATTTTACTACATAAAAATTAATTTAATAAATAAAATTACAATTTTTTTAATTAAGAATGTCATTTTATGTTATTTTATATTTATCAACTAATATAATTACTAATTCATCAAATATTTAAATTAACTTATCAACTATAAATCGTCAGTTATAAGCGATGATTATAGACTATCGATAATCAGTTATAAATTATCAACTATTAATCATAACTATTATCTATCAACTAACTTATCAGCTATAAGTTAGTTTTACCAATCAGAACCATATTTTAAAAATAAAAATAAAAAGGATACACTAATAAATATTCATGCTAACTTGTTGTCAATGAACACATTTTAAACATTTGAAATTTTTTATTTTTAAAAAAAAATTTTTAAACCGATAAATCATAAAATACAATTTTATTTAAGAGATATTCTTTGTATCTATTTTTTGGAGTTAGCATTTTTGTCAGTACTAAACGCGCATTAGAAAATGATTACCGACACTATCTTGCTTTGTTTCCTGGAAAGCGCCATTTAAGCTAAATTAAAGTTTGGGGTCAAATTTTATTTTACTTTTAATTTTTTACTAGTTCTTAAAAGTTGGGAAATCCAATATTTAAATTAAAATACAATTAAATTAATTAGTCAAGTTGTGTTGCTTCCTTCTTCCATTGCTTGCGTGAGAAAAAGGAGTGTTGGCCCTCTCGATTGTTGCCTAGTCAGGTTCTTTAATTTCAACCTATCATTCTCTCAGTTTCACTTTCAGTTTCAGTTCCTGTTTCAGATCTAAAACCGCAATCCAACATTCCTTGTTTTTCACTTTATGTTATCTCATAGCACCATAGTCCAACCAAACACAAACAACCTTAATTCTTGTCCGAACAAATAAAAAACTAGTCTTTCTCCTAATTAAAGAGATGATGTTCCAAGAAAACGGGAATGGTGAAATGGGTTTATCTGGAATTCCCTTGGGAACAAAGAGCAAGTACAAGAGGATGAGTTCCCAGGTTCCTGATGATAACGATGATGTTTTGCATCAACAACAATTGGAAGATAAGAGGAACAGTACTAGGAAATATGTTATCGCATGTGCCATCTTTGCTTCTCTCAATAATGTTCTTCTAGGTTACGGTATGATTTCTTTGAAAAATCTTTGACTTTGTCAATTTTTGCGTTGACTATTATCTGCATCGGTTCTGTTTCATCTCTAATAACAGATCTAAAATAAGAACCCTAATGAGATGACTTCGACTTTGATTTTGATTTCTAACTCTATTGCAGATGTAGGTGTGATGAGTGGTGCAGTTATATTTATAAAAGAGGATCTAAATATAACTGAGGTACAGGTAGAATTTTTGATTGGTATTCTTAGCATTGTTTCTCTATTGGGTAGTTTGGGTGGTGGGAGAACATCAGATATTATTGGTAGAAAATGGACAATGGCATTGGCTGCAGTTATATTCCAAATTGGTGGAATTACAATGACTTTTGCCCCTTCCTATCAAGTACTCATGATTGGAAGATTGTTAGCTGGAATTGGAATAGGCTTTGGAGTTATGATCTCACCTATATATATTGCTGAGATATCACCAAATCTCACTAGAGGCTCTCTTACTGCTTTTCCAGAGATTTTTATTAATGTAGGAATTATGCTTGGTTATGTATCCAATTATGCGTTTTCTGGTCTTTCGGTACATATAAGTTGGAGAGTAATGCTTGCGGTTGGTATTTTGCCTTCGGTATTCATTGGCTTTGCCCTTTTCATTATTCCCGAGTCGCCGAGGTGGTTGGTAATGCAGAACCGAATTGAAGAAGCGAGATCGGTGTTGTTGAAAACAAACGAAGACGAGAAAGAAGTGGAAGAGAGGCTAGCAGAGATACAACAGGCTGCTGGTTTTTCCAATTCTGATAAATATGAGAACAAACCTGTTTGGCGTGAATTGCTGTTTCCTCCTCCCGCGCTTCGCTGGATGTTGATTACAGGTCTTGGAATTCAGTGTTTTCAACAGATCTCAGGAATTGATGCAACTGTCTATTACAGTCCAGAAATTTTCCAAGCAACGGGAATTGAAGATAAGAAAAAACTTCTAGCTGCTACTGTTGCTGTAGGTATATCAAAGACTGTTTTTATTTTGGTGGCCATTGTTCTTATTGATAAAGTTGGTAGAAAACCTCTTCTCGTTACAAGCACAATTGGGATGACAGTTTGTTTGTTCTGTATGGGAGCTACTCTTACATTTTTTGAAAAAGGGCCGTTAGTGATTGGATTGGGTATTCTTTTTGTTTGTGGAAATGTTGCATTCTTTTCAATTGGACTCGGCCCTGTGTGCTGGGTTTTGACATCTGAAATCTTCCCTTTACGTGTGCGTGCTCAAGCATCCGCCCTTGGAGCTGTGGCTAATAGAGTCTGCAGTGGCATTGTTGCCATGTCTTTCCTATCTGTATCTGGGAAAATTTCTTTCGCTGGAGCGTTCTTTCTGTTTTCCGCTATTTCTTCCCTTGCCATTATTTTTGTTTTCACAATAGTACCTGAAACCAAAGGGAAGTCTTTGGAGCAGATAGAGATGATGTTTCAAAATGAAAATGAGAGTCAAGTAAAAGAAATGGAGCTAGGAGATGTTGAACAGCTTGTGCAGAACAAAACAGGTTTAACAAATTAGTTAATTAGCCTACACATATTTCACTTGTTATGTCCAAGGCTTTATGAATCCGCCACGTGTGATTCTGCGACACGAGAATTTGATATCTGATACGGGGCATGAGAAAAAATTAAGGCAAATTGCATTCTTATTGTATACTCAAACTTTTACTAGTTGTAGAATTATTCTGTTTCTTTTAGATTCATTTAAGCTCATAGTAGGATTATATATGCATGGAGAATTTTGTTGGAGATGATTCTGTCTCCACTACATGGTCTTTTCAGAAATTTGGAAACAATTTATAGTACCATCATTAGTAATTTTACCTAGTACTCCATGATGGATGTAATTCATATGAAAATTCTTTAATAAATCATATTCTTTTCAATTTTAGTATCTAAATTGTGGTCTTTAGACCTAGAAGCATATATGATTAGTGTCATATTATTATCAACATAAATCTCTCGTTGTTCATAAATCAAATAGTTAATTGGGCTTCCTTCTGTAAGTTACAATAAAAAATGTTGTCAAAGCATATCTTAAGTTTGTATATATTTCTGTAAAATTAGAGGTTGACTTCAGCAGAAATTGGTTTGGTATTGCTGGTGACGCCTAAAGTGGATACTTAAAGCAGGGCCGGCCCAAGGCAACCCAATCAAAAGCTTTTGGTTTCAAAATTTTAGACGATAAAGATGCTTCAAAAAATTTTTATTTAGTCCTAAATATTTTAAGAGATTTCCTATTGCATTCTATATGTTTTTTTAATTTAGTCCTAAATATTTTAAGAGGTTTCTTATTGCATTCTATATGTTTTTTAAGTATCATACAAAATTTTAAAAATGTCTCTAATTTTCGAAAATAAATCTCTAGAGACACCTTAATACACATATTTTATTTATATTTCAATTTTATAAATAAATTTATTATGAAAATATATCTCTGAAAAAATTCTGAAAATGTATTTTTGAAACCTAAAAAGACAACAATCGGAAGAAGCCACCTGCAGTAGCTTTTCTGTATCAATTGAAAATTAAAAAAAGAAAATTCCACTTGCAGTAGCTTACTGAATCATTACGTAAAAGTCCCTCTTGCTTTTGTGATATGGCTATACGAAACAGGAAACAGGAAACAGGCAAAGTCCTAATCAATTTCGGCCAGTCTTGCCCTGTCAATTGTTCAAAAACAAAATTGAAAACTCAGTAAGATCCAAAAGTTCAAAATGAAATAAAAAATCTAATACTTTTCCACAAATTAATGGATTGAAGAATAAAAAATAAAAAATCTGGAGTATGGCTATGACCTAATAGTTTATTTATAACCTTTATATGAATTGAAGAATCAGGCATGAGTAGGTAATAACACCTAATAACATTTTTTAATAAATTTTTTTCAGAAATATATTTTCAGAAATTTTTCGGAAGTGCATTTCCAAAATAAATTTATTCATAAAACTGAGTTGTGTTTCAAAAGCGAATGAAATGTGTGTATTAAATGCGTTCGAAGATATATTTTCAAAAATTAAAGATATTTTTAAAACTTTGCGAGATGTTTAAGAAGCATCTTTAGGGTGCTTAAAGAAATTTTCTATTTTAAATAACATATTTTTTACATAAAATTTTATTATTGAGTTAGTAAAAGAGAAACTTCATATTTTTTTAAATTCTTGATTTAATTTTTGTCAAATACAAAATTTAATTTTATATATTTATTTTGAAGGCCTATTTTAAAAAAAAAAAATTAGGCCCTCTAAGCATATTGAGTTGTCTTTGACATATTTTGTCAGCAATCTCGTGAATAATAAAAGACTCCTAAGTCTGGTGGTTCTTCCCAAGGAGGCCAAATGAACATCTGAACTAGGGAGATTTTTACAAGCAGCCAATAAGATGAAACTTCCTTTTGATAGAGAAAACTCTAGTTGTAAGAAAATGAAAATAATAAGGGACATGGTATGATAATCGTACCATACTATGTTTCAATTTAGTATTATGTTTTACTTCAGTGTTTGATGAAAATCTATAATATAAGAATTTTTATTGTTCTGAAAAATTACATATTTAACCTTCTTCTTAATTAATTCACGTCATTTTATTAGTGGCATTTTTTGTTTTTGTTTAATATCAACTAAATTCAACAAAATTCGTATCCAATACAAACACAACCACACTTATGCATTTTGTTCTCATTCAGTTAACTCAAAATATCCCATGCAACCAAATTTTTGCTTTTGGGTGTAACAAAATTAACACTGAGTATTAGAAACATAACCTAACATTTCTACACTCAAATGAGACTTAGTCATTTTTCCTATTCTCTTCATCTCACCTTTTTTCTACTACATCATAAAACGGGTTTCAACCAACTCTACACTTCCTCTATTTTTTGAGATCTAAACATGATATTTTCATTTATATTCTTAACTTAGATATGCAATATCACAATGCTTTTTCTTTAAACCCTTAATGCCTTTATGTTCCTCCACATCTTTCATCAGTTAGGATCTTCGCATCTTATAAATTTTTTTTCAACCAAGTAATAATAATTTTCATACACATATTTCTTTTTTATTTTATTTTTACATTTATCATTTTTTTATGTTTCTAGAACTCTAATATTTTCATCTGTACTCTTATCTTAGATTTGTAGTATTACTATACTTTTCTGTACTCTTATCTTAGATTTATCTTAACCATTTGATTGTGTTTTTTATTTTCAAAATTTAAAATTGATTTGATGATTCATAGATTGAAGCTCCTGTTTTTTTCTTTTTCATTTTCTTATTCAGATTTAGAAAAGATTGTGGATGTGGATACAATAGGAGACCTAAAGTGTCTTATTTGATAGCAACAACATACAGAAGGTTGAGAGCCTGGTGTAACAGTCAGAACAAACAACAAACAGTACAAAATGTTGTAGGGAAAAAAAGAGTGGAAGGTAACCTTATACATTGTAAATGTTTTACTTTTGTACATTGATGTAGAAAATGGCATACGTTTGGTTAATTTTCTAGTTTCACGCATATGAAATATGACTAATATAATTATGACAGTGTTTGAAACCTGCTTGGACACATTATGAAATATGACTAATATAATTATGACAGTGTTTGAAAATCGCTTGGACACATTTTAGTATCACTAAATTTGAGGTATCATGTGAAACTTGTAGTAAAGAAACTTTGTATTATACAAAGACGAAAACTAAAGGGAAAATTTTCAAATCGAGGATCAATGTATAAGCAAGCTGGAATGGAGTATGTCTGACAAGTTTCATCCCTTGTGAAAAATGGTATTAATTCTTATGAAATTCAATTAAAATATGCTTTGTTCGTTGTTGAAAATGAGAATGTAAAACGAAAATAAAAAAATGCTTTATTCTTTGTTCTTAGGAGTGTTGAATGAAAAGGCCAAATAGTGTAATTAAAATGGGAGAGAAGATCTATGTGAGATACTTTTCTCACCAGAGGATAGACATAATGGTGTCCACTCACCTTTCTAGCTATTAGAAAAAACAGACCAAGATAGAAAAACGAAATGTCTCAGTTGAAGATTTTTAGGGTCAAACATGAATCAAGTGCTATCTTTTTTAATTGAAAACAAAAAAAGAATTCAAAGGGTGGTAGTAAATTGGATTGCATTATTCTGTTCTACTCCCTCCGTCTCACACAATGAGTGATTTAGTTGACTTTTTCATCCAAATTAAGAAAAAAATAAATGAAGGAGAGAGAATGACATTTTTACTAAAGTACCCTCATCATATACGATGAAAGTAATATTAATCAGAGAATAAAATAGGAAAAGATGCATTAAAAACTGAAATGGATCATATATTATGGGACACTATTTTATTTCAAATGGGTCACTCATTGTGGAACGGAGAGAGTATATATATTTTTTGAAAAAATATTTTGAAAATCTGTTTTTTTTCATCTATTGAAAAGTATCATATCCCCATTCCAAATAAACTTTGTAGACGGTGGGTTATCTGTTGAGATTGTAATTTCTTGTGTCGAAGAAAGTGTAGCTCGACAGAAACAAGAATATGCCAAAATTAGTCTAGTGTGTGTGTGTCGAGTTCTGTTAGATGTCGAAGTGTCAAAGCAGTTTGCTTGACACAAGATTCTAATCTAGACCAAAATAAAAATTTCGTACTTTTTGATAACTGCTAAAATATACTGATATTGAGTGTAAATAATTGGCACTTATTGGATTAATTCAACCAATAAACCTCAACTTTCGTGCATATCTTATATAGTTTACATTATAATGTAAACATTGCGTATCATGTAAATATCATTGATTTTAATTGTTTTTCTCTCATTTTTGCAGGTATACAAGCAATGATATTTTGTCATTGCCTTGCAGAGCATTGAATAAGTTTTCCAAGCTTATGACCGCGCGTAAAACGGAGTTACACTTCAAAAGTTATGATCTAAACAAGTGATGGTTTGCTGTCATATTCGCTAGACAAATAAAAGTTTGCTAAGCAAACAGAAAGTTCTAAAAAGTGTGGAAAAGCTGTTTTGGTAGTAGTTAAGGCGGCATAGTTCGCTGGGCGAACAGGACTTCGCTAGGCGAACACGAAAACCCATTTTTTTCCTACTTAATTGATTTTTCAGCACATTTTATATGATGTTGTTGGGAATTTTTTATCTCAACTTCATCAAACACATTCTTGAGTAGATTTAGCTTAGAAACAACACATGAAGTGTATATCTTGACAATCCGGAGTCAAATCCACTTCAATCGGAGTTGACACATCGTGAGATTTATGTTCTTCTTCCTTCCTCTCTATGTATTTTTCATTTGTTGGAATTTTGTATGTAAGTGTATCTTGATTGTATGTATATCTATGGATCTTTGTATAAAATATCTTTTACAACGCTTTAGAGATGTCATCTTTGATTTTTACTTAATGGGTTTGGATTGCTATAGACATATACAGTTCGAAATCGATCTAAGATGAACATTTGTTAGATTCTAAACTCTAGACATAGTTTAGGTCTAATATTCACGTGGGTATCG